CCTGAATGCATCGCTCTGGATCTTTTATTCTCCTTGTCAAGAGTTTGTGAAAATCTTACTTATCTGAAGATAAGATCTTTCGCTGCTCCAACTTGCGATTCTTTGGCATCTTTGATTCAATCTCAAAGAGGTCTTCGTAAGTTACTTTTGTGGGAATTGAATCTTCATGATATTTCATGTCTTATCGAAGCTATTGGTAGTCAAGCACATAGTATAAGAGAAATTGAACTATTTCAATGTTCATTTGAACTTTGCGAATCTTTTGAAGGATTAGCTTGTTGTCATCATTTAAATTCTCTTTCAATAATACAATGCGATTATTTGACATCTAATCTTTTAGAATCATTAGCAAATACTCACTTTCCTTACATGGAAAAATTAGAACTAAAATATTTTAATTATTCATTAACTGATTTGAATCCTGAAGATATTCCATCTGAACAAGTGAAGAATATTATAAAGAATTGTAGTGATAATCTTCAACACCTTTATACTAACCTTAAATTAGATGATTATTTTAATATTATCGAAACAATTTCAACACATTGTACATTAATTACTAGTTTAGAACTAAATATGCAAAGAGCTGAACAAATACATGAGCTCTTACCTATATTAGAATCATGTCAAAAATTAGAGAAATTGATAATTCAACCTATTCAACCAATAGGATTTTTTCCAGTATATTATCATATTTCTAACGATCAAATTCGATGGTTCGCATCAAAATTACCATCAAGTGTTCGACATCTTGAAATAAGATATTGGACTATTTTCGCTCGAGATTTAGAAGATATACTTTCAATATGTGGTCGAAGTCTATATTATATAGCGTGGGGATTTTCTGATATTAAAGTTGAAGGAGATGAAAAATATTTTTCTCAAGTTATTGCTGAGTATTGTAAGAAAGAGTCAAGAAAGATTAAGAAAATAGGTACTCCACAATTTTTTTGTGATTTTAATGATGGTCATAAAAATAAAGGAACTGTTTATGTAGAGTTTTAAATCTTATTTGTTTTATAAGTGATATTGTATTTGCACGCCATAAAAATTATATCAAATTTCAAATTTAAAGTTTGTAGTTTGAATAACTTTGTTGTTTAACATTAATTATATGAAATATTGATTCCATGAATAATGCACCAAGAAAATTTCGTATCATACTATACAGTATTTATAGCCGCCATAAGGATTGGAATCAGTTTAATCAACTACTATATTGTCGATTAATTAGTCGATTAATTAGTCGATTAGCTTATATCTGCAATTGAACAGCCAGAGTTGCAATGGAGTTCAATGGAGTTCCAATGGACTGCTATCCATTGGGTTCATTCAGTACTCCATTGGGTCTATTTGGAACTCCATTGAACTGCATTGCCAACCCTGCCTACAGCTATAACACTCGAATCTATTTTTTCAATAAATGCTATGAAACTGTATATTAAAATTTGGTAATTATTGAATTGGACAAACAAGATGTAAAAAAGAAAGAAGTCACCGCAATGTGCCCAATTTAATTTCATAATTTACGATATAATATGTGAAAGATATCAAGATACGATTTTAAGCGTTATGTCAATATCCCAAAAGTCAAAATCCAAAAACCTAATTGTCACGACGCTTGGTGTCGGACTTCGAATATTCAAACTCCACTTTTGATTAGTAAGCATGCTTACTAATTAAAAGTGGAGTTTGAATATTGGAAGTCCGACACCACACGACGTGGCAATTAGGTTTTGGGATTTTGACTTTTG